TAAAAAAGCTAACCTCAGAAGATTCCTGAGAACCTGTATGCCAGATAAAAAATTAGTTGAAAGAGATTTTAATTTTAGTTTAACCCATACCAAAAAATGTATTCTTTGAGTTTCGATTTTCGTTTTAAGTTCGATAGTTCTCCTTTTGGATAAATAATGAATTCTTGACTATCATTTGAACAATACTGTCGGCAGGAAATTATCTCTAAGCAGCACTTCACAAAGCACTAATTCTTGAAATGTGACCTGCTGTTATTCTACTTTTTCATACTTCTTAGTTAGATTTCAATTAGATATTTGGTGATTTCGTTTGCTTATTCTTTATCCTTTATTGTTTTTATATGACTACTCTTGGAGATAGTTTTGTCCTCTATGCTTTTTCATATTTAAGAGATAAACTAGGCATTATATCGTAGTTTATTGACCTTCTTTTCGCAACTTTGTCATATTGGCAGGAAGACCTAAAGGATCGTATCTTGTCTGGGGTCCAAAGTATGCCCGATAATTTCCAGAGTAAGACCATGGACTTGGTACATTCCCAGACGTTTTGCTAGCATTATTGTCGACATCGTCAGGGAGACTTCCCTTCTTATCACCACATTACAACTCATCCACGAGATAAGTGAAGTAGATCCTTTAACCAATTGTCTGCTAGTCAGTTATGATATCTCCCCTTCTGTTCTGGGCTATTCAGCTATCCTATATCCTTATATCACCCCTTCGCTATCACAATTTCTTGATAATTTAAACATGATTATGGTGTGCCCATTGAGCCCATTTCATTAGACATTTTGTTCAAACTGATGATGGACATGGTTCCTACCTTACTGCTTCCTTTCCTTTATCTTCGTCTACCCATCCTTATTTGCAACTGATGTTGAGCTCGCCGGGATGTGAATTGAATACTAGGGGTTTATGAGTGTTTGACTTCTTTTTTCTTCTTGACATTGGAGTTAGGCTGAGAGATTTAATCTGAAAGATCTTTATATTGTCTTAAGGATATGAATTTATTATTAGCTCAAGCAAATAGATGAGATAATTATTTAAATTTTAAATCTTATTATATGAATATACTTATTCTTTTATTATGCCTGACTATGCTAAATTATAGTACACTGTATATATCTTGAAATTTAAAATATTTGGTCCGTCAATGTGGACCTAACTAAGTGACCATTGTATTCGAAAGTATCTAGTTTAATCAGTTTATACATTGATTAATCGTATCGCCATGGCAAAATATTAAATTTGCAATAAAAAAAAATCTGAATTTGAAGTTGTGTCTGCAGGTCGGAGATTACCGGATACCTGACTCATACAAGATACATGCTAAACCTTGGCACCTATTAGAGTTATCTCTTTACAAAGCCCATCTATATAGTGCATATGCTAGGTAAAAGCCTGAAATTTGGATAAATGTAAATTAGATAAATACATGATTCTCAGGATTTCTGAAGAATAGTCATAGATGGTAGATTTGAATTTGTGGATATGAAGATTAACTAATTTTCGATTAATCTCTTGATATTGTTAGGACTTTCACTTCGTATGAAAGCTTATGAAGAAGAGATTCGAAGGTCAATACCACCATAAGAGGATGGTTGAGTCCCGTTGTAATGCAGATGATGAGGTCCACGAGACCACCCTCTTTTCAGGTTTTAGAGCTGGGACCCATTCTTGTAAAATTCTCAAGTTAAAACTAAGATAGGAATTTGAATGATACAAATATAGAAGATTAAGTCTTCACAGCAAACATTTATCTACTCACAGACAAGGCTAGTATCACCAAATATTTATGACACACTAAGACATACAGACGAAAGTATTTTTTTTTGCGAAATCTTGCCTGGCTTAGATATGGATTTGATGGGAATGTTTGAATAGAACATCTCCAGAGAATTAACGCTTCTTATCTTTTTGTTATGTCACTACTACTACCTCTCTCTAATTCTGTTTTCGCCCTTCTATCATCACCTTTTATCTGTTAATTGGGATTACTTAGTCCATGACCTCATTGCTCCCAGTCATTGTTCATTGCTCATTGTTTCCATTACACATATGAATATCTCTTCTACCCACGAGTCCGTAAACATTTCACTTTCCTATTATATCCTGAATTTAATGCATAGCGTATTTGTGCTATTTCAGTTAATGCTTTTTATTGGGATTGAGGAACTAATGACAAACTTCTTTATGACACATCATAATTATTATATTTCATCATCTCTCTAAGCAACTTATCTTTTAATTGTACATTTTGTTAATTTTATCGCTTATTTATCTTCGTTTTTAGCTCTTGAATTTGATTTTTTTTTAATTTATTCGAATTCTGATGTTTTGTTACTACTTCGAAATGATCTTTCAAAATGTCTCTCACCATTCAACTAATTTATACTGGCTTATAAATTAGTATCTACATTATTTTATCACATTTTTAGAGTTTTAATGGTCGTGAATGGGAAAATTTATTGTTTACATTCTTTTTGATGGTGTAAAAATGATTTGCATTCCCCTATAATGAAATATTTTTTATTCAAAACAATTTATTCTTTTCTGACGGAGCTATTGTTCTCTTACCTATAATAACTGTAATATAATTTTGAGAACTTATTTCGGGCATTCTCATTTTGCTTTCCTAATCAACGCTAATGTATATTTTTAATAATATATATTTTGAGACTGTCCAATAATATGTTTGCGTATTGCTATTTCATTCTCTCAATTTAGCTGGAATTGGCTGATAGGGAACGTTTGGCTAAGGCAGCTGCCGAAGAAGCAGAACGCGAGTTGCGCAAACAGCGACTAGCCAGCATTATGTCTCGAGTCAAGCCGAACACTTCACAAGCTAATCTTACTTTAAACAGTGGTGCCAGCAGTACCTCAAGCCTTATTGCCCCAGTTTTACCTTTCACTACGACTGTTGAATCAGCAGCAATTAATCCTGTTGCCACCGATATTGGAATTGATCCGATGATGTTGGCATCAGAGAAGGCTACTTATCTGGGAGACTCAAGTCTTATCCCAACTCCAGCAACCACTCCAACTGCCACGAACTCAATACAAGCCTTCTCGACTGGCCATTTTGCGGAAGCAGAGGTTGTCCCTATCGAGGAATGCAAAAGCAATCTTTCGGGCCAGCCAGCCAAATCGGAAGTCTCCTTAGAGGATGAGGGCATTAGCTCTATGATCGCGACGACGCCGGCTACATCAACTTCGGCGGCGGGAAGGAGCACCGATGCTTGGGGATCCGATAGTGGTGCTGCCTCCGTCCAGGAATTTGGTGGTTTAGGATACTCTCAAGATATAGCCCACCCAGGCAAAGCAGCTGTGACTGTTGACTGGGTGAGTAAAATCAGCCCCTTGGCTTACTAATACTCCTGGGGGGATGCATACTTGTTGTTCGTTCTCCTTAAGCTTCCTTATAATAGTCTTAACTTTCATATTCTTATATGGATTTCTTGCATGACCATCAATTAAAGGGAAAACTTGTAGTTCAATGTCACTCCAAGTATCTGCTGGGAAACTATCTGTTAAACTTATCAATTTTACCAAAATTTCCTCTTTGAAGTCCTTACCATTTGTAAAGGCAAAGTTCAAGCTTTTTACTAGGACCTCCTTAGTAGAAATGTTCAATGAAGTTTCGGACAGATTTACCACTTTCTGCAACGACTATTCTTACGCTTTAATTCATTATATATGGGTCGTTTCCTTAAGCTAATTTTTATACATAAATTTCCTAATTTCTTATCATGTGTCTTCCTAACATGTCTGAAAATCTTACCATGTAAACTATCTGCTATACTATGGAGTTTCAGGAAATTTTCCGAACTTAGAGCATCGGCCAAAATTTGCCCTTAGACTAGTCTTAGTTCTG